AAAATATTTTGACATCAAATTTTTGGCGTTCAATCTTCTATTAAACTCGCACATGTAAAAAATATATATATAAATTTCCAATAAAATAAAATAACCAAAATAGCCCTAAAAATTTTAAGGAATATTTTGGTCATTATATTCTATCAAAATTGTTTTTAACATTTTTTGTAGGTGAACCCCAATGAGAAGATGGCATATACCAAATTTCATATTCATACAATTTATAAAAAATTAAAAATAAAATACCTTGAGGCCTCAAACAGTGAGTGGCTCACTCGAATAAAATTGGATGGCTGGATGGTAGAGGAAGCATAGATGCTCTATGTAGTAGAAAAACTATAGAAACATTTCCCCATTCAAAATTGGACATTTTCATACATTATTCCTATAAGACATCCCTAAGGGCATATTTGATTTTGGGAAGGCACATGATGGCCAAAGAGTGGAGGTGGCGACTTCCATGGCCTCCTATGGGAGCCACCACTACCCCTTTTTAATGTGGTTACGGAAGCCCTGACTTCTAAAAACCGTGGAGCACTTCCAATATCAAATAAGTGATATAGTTTTTGGAATTGGGGTTTTTGGGAACCGCCATTTCCAGATATCAAATGCACCCCAAATGTCAACATTTTTCAAACACCCAAATTATGTTATGCAGCATAAAATTATCAGTAAACAACACCCGACAAAAAACAACCGCATTTAAGAGAGAAAACGAACAAAACGTGTGGATCCGAATCATCCGCTATGGACCCATACACACAAGAAGGAAGAAATTACCCACAAAAAGCCTCTTTCTCTACACGATCTAAAAAGATCAATTTTTTTATTTTATAAAATTCAATCCCCAATTACATTGTACATGTAATCCTTTCATAAAAAGAAACCTTTTCCAAAACTTTCTAAAACGCATTCTCTCTTCCTTATCTAATAAGAGTGTACGCCCTTTAATGTTAGGATGCAAACCCTCCATGCAACCTAAACAAAAATGTAACTTTTTTTTTTTTTAAAGATAACCCATTAGGTCTCCCAACTCTTATCAGAAGACCTAACACCTATTGCAAAAGGCAACTTCTAATCTCAAATTCAACTAAATTTTCAAAATATAAGCCTACTAAATCAATTCAAGATAGACCTTTCCAAAAATAAAATCAACTCAAGATAGACATTTCCAAAAATAAAAGCAACTCAAGATAAACCTACTAAATCAACTCAAGATAGACCTTTCCAAAAAATAAAACAAAACTCAAGAAAAATATAAAATAGACTTATCTTTTAAAAAATGTAAACTCTATTAAATGCCTACTAAAAAAATAGGAATCAATTTTTTCCTAAAAAAATATATGTACTTTATCAACAAACCCAAAAAAATGTACTAATGACTCTAATAAAATAAAAATACACCTAAAAAAATAAAGAAATAATTAAATCTCCAAAAAACAAATAATACTGAATTCATCTTATTTTGATCTGCGTCACCAAAAAACAAAAAATACTGAATCCATCTTATTTTGATCTGCGTCATTATGCTATTCTTCAAACAAGCTTTTTTCAACAAATAGTTGGTGGAGGTCAGCTGCCGTTCCCTCTAGGGACTTAACGTCAAAACTTTCATCACCACCGTCCATTGACACGATAGGTGGTGGGTGGCGATTAGAATATTCTTTTTTTCCTACTGATAAATTACAAGAAAAAATCTTTGAAGAGTTGCCATTGCTTCTGTCCTGTTCTCTCCCAAAAATATGGGCCATGCCTTAGGTAGCCTCTTGTGGTGTCACATGATGGAAAACCTCACACATGATCACCAATCCAAATAGGGGTAGCTTTCAGGGAAAAATAGGTTTCTCAATTGGTGGTGCGTCCTATTCCCCGAAGTAATTATAGAAATTTCACTGTAATTTTCTCTAATGTCCACGTAATTATGTTCCTCCTTCACAACGTTTTTAATTTTCAACTCTTCCTTAATTGGCAACCTTGTACATCTAGGTACTCTATAAGGGAACTCAACAATCTCTGTAATTTTCTTTATAACATCCTTTCACTCAAAAATGGTTCCCCAAAATCTTGGCTCTTTCTAGACAAGAAATAGGAAAACATTAGTGAAAAGGGAAAGTGTTCCCCGAATAAGCGGGTGCAAGAGCCCACTTGCACCCGCTGACTTACAAACGTACATTGCTGACTTACAAACGTTCATTTTTAAAGATAGACGTTATCTAAAGTGTATAGTCCATAAATAACAAAAAAATTACCAAAAAGTTATATTTTTAATTTTCAAAGTTTATTTTTCTTTTAATATTCATGACCATCTTGGCTTAGATGATGAATTTACCACATAATTAGATAAAAATCCATCTCTAAAATAGATTTTAGTGGGATCATGCATATGTACATATGAGTGGGCCGACTCACATAAACCCAATCGGAGTGAGAAAGGGCAAAATAGTATTTCATCTAGCACTTATTGAGGGTGCAAAAACCATCAAATACCTTACCATACAAGTAAAGACTTTTATGACAAAACACTAAAAGATTTGGGAAGGTAAAAACTGATTGACATGGGTAGTAGGAGAGGTGACAGTGGTCCATATGATGGGGATGGTTTGGAGTATGGTTGGGGGATAAGTTGTCCAAGTTGGGTGATTGCTAGCTATACAAAATGCTATTTTGAGTAATTGGTCATCAAATGTGGAATGGACCTCTTTATTTTTATGTCAAGTAAAGTACCATTTTTATTTGTTTGATTTGTGTTGCCTACGTATGTGTTTCCCCCATGGAATGGTAAATCATTCACCTGGGGTTGCTGGGCCCTTGACCTTTAACTCATTAATGCTTTCTTCATTACGATCTAACTTGTGTTTCTCGATAGCAAGGCACTTCTGGTTACTTCAGCCTACGTCCACCATTTTTCTGTTGCAAACAATCAAAGAAAGGGAAAATTTTATATACAGCCGACATTCTAAACAATCAAATTAGAGTTCACCTCAAAAATTTAACTAAAAGAGTCTGTTTTAATGCCCAAATATCCTTAAATTGATCATTTCGACATCAATATGAACATACATGAGAAACAAATGGATTTCAAGTTTTGGAAATAGTGCATCTTATAGCACGTTTTTGAACCGTAAATTTTCATGGTTTTCAAGTTGTCATAGATATGCTCGATCTACATTAATTTTGGAGCTTTAAATATTATAATAAAAAATGAAAACATATTTTAAGGCTATCACAAAGATTTTCAGTATTGAAACCACTTTTTTCTACACTATTAAAAATAAATTCCAATTTGATTGTTTAGAGCCTTGGCTCTATACAAACCGCACCCAAAAATGGCCTTCTCTTTCTCTCGTTTGAGAATTCTCTCCCTTTAGAATTAGAGAGGGAGAAAGAGAAGGCCAGCCCCAGGTTTTCTTAAGGCTGGTAGAAGTTTAATAAAGAAAATGAGAGAGGGAGGGAGAGACATTCCCCAGCCTAGTGTTTGGTGCCAAGGTGTGCGCATCTAAATTCTAAATTCCTCTACCAACAAAAGAATTCTAAATTCTAAACCATGTTCACTCCCAAAAACAATTTTGTTGGCTCCTCGTCATTTTCCTCTTATGAACCCTAGACTCTAGTGGTCACTCTTAGCTGCACGTGCCACTGCAGGATTCACTATGGAGACTTTTGGGCTTATCTCCATTTTTCACTTTTTTCCGCTCTCAAATTTGAATAACTCATTTTTGGAAAACTCAATGAGATTGAAATTTCAGAACTGTTTGATTAAATTCATTGGAATAATATAGCTGAGGAGGGCCTTTGGAATCTAGAGAGAGGGAGAGGGTTGGAAAGGACAGGTTAGGGGGATGGATCTTTTAAGATAGATCTGGAGCAGGCAAGGATCTAGTAAGAGAATACTGCAACACCAACAACCCCGATCTCTGTCTCTCTCTCTCCACCCTTGATGGTTAAAAAAAGAGCAAAGGCACAAAGCAGCAGTCAAAAGTGTGGAGTTCCGGGGTTGTTCTGATGCAAGGTTCTCTCTCTTTTTCTCCATTGACCGGTGTACATACCACAAATTCATTTTGGCGAATATTTACCGGTTCTTGAGGTTGGACTCTCTTTCGCATTTTTTCCTTTAACCGTGTGTGGTGGGGTATAGAAATAATGGGGGAGGGAAAGGAACCTTTGCCTATGAAGCAAAAACCGTACAATGTTGCAGCACCTTGCAGACACCTTTTCTTTCGACTTTGGGCACATAGCCATTCTCATCAGAACCCATCAATGAAGACAGTGTACGACTCAGAAAATGACTCTTTCTCCATATTTAATTCCCCTCTCCTTTTTCTCTCTTCATGTGAAGGTGCGGGACAGTCATGAATAGAGAGAGAGAGAGAGAGTAGTTTTTGGCTTGCTAATTGAGTGCTGGGGTTTGCTTGTTTGCTTGCTTATTGGGCGGTAAAATGAGAGGTGAGGGCACCTCTCATATATGCATCTGTACAGAGAGAGAGAGAGAGAGAGAGAGAGAGAGAGCGGGAGTTTGACGACGTTCGAGTGGGGAAGCAAGAAACAAAGAAGAGTGAAGATTAAAAACCAGAAAAGGAAACATAAGAAAGAGGGACAGAAGGAGTAATGGAGTTAAACCCAAACTGGGCTTTTGTCGCGGTTACTATTTCCATGATTGAAAGCAAAGTTTTGACTGAGAGGGAAGAAAGACAATGCTCCTTTGCTTCTCATCAGTATTTTTCATCTTTTAAAAGTGGGCGGGCGAGGAAGGGGGTTTGAGCTTAGGTTACGTCCCTCTCCTTCATTATGGCTTTCTCTGACTGCTCTTACTGCTACCACTGCCCTGCCGTCAACTGACTCCAAGAAGAGAGAGAAAGCGATTCATCGATCCTCCCCTCCCCTCCCCTCCCCTCCCCAGATAATAATGCTCTCTCCCTCTCTCACTAAAACCTAACTTATGCTTCACTGCTTTAATTGTTTTTCGACACTCAACAGTACAGAGATAGGGAGAGATAGGGAGAGAGAAGAAAGCAATCTTGAATTCCATGTGTTTTCTTTAATAAGCTCTTGTACAATATGTGGTCTAAGGGATAGACATAATATTACAGTTCTACAACATATACCAAAACAAAAATGAACCATCCCGTTGAGTGCTAAATCAAATCACCCAAAGAGTACTTCTCATTCTCTCTCTCAAACTTTCCCACTCTTGAAAGTTGAAACAAACAGTCATTTCAGTCTCTCTCACTCTCCCTGTCTAGTCCAAACAGTAGTGGCGAAGGGGCCTGCTACATGCGAGACTCGTTTGTTGTCCCTTTCCTCTTTACTTTTTATTTTTTTATTTTTTGGCCTCTTTGGGGAAATTTGATCGTGTTCTACCCTATCATAGAACCTCCTGCTTTGGTTACAATACGAAACAACACCATATTGGTATCATCTCTTTCTTTTACATTCTCCAGCGTAGTAAAGATTACAAGAGATAGACCCCCTTTTTCTCTCTGAGCTTGCGCTTGGGCGGTTGTTTTTGTTATTTTGATCGGTCGGCTTGTTGGTTGGTTAGGCTTAAGTGGTTCTCATAAGAGAATGGAACCCATTCTTGTGCATCCAACTTGGTTGAGATGGTGGCGGTGGTGGCGGCAGTTGCTGTCGTTGTTGATGTATGATCTGCGGTGGGAATCCTGATGATGCTGCAGCAGTGGCAAAGATTTGGGCCGGTGCAGGCCAGCCATTAGTAATGCTAATGCCTCCCAAGCTCTTGTTATTGTTGTTGTTGACCTGCTGTTGCTGTTCTCCTTGTATTACAAGAGACAATCTCCCCAATCTCTCTCCATCACTCTGATACTGCTGTATCTGTACCAGTCAAAAAGAAGAAATTGAGAACTGAAAACCCTAGTTTGTTTCTTTCCATGGTTATTTGCACAGATACAGATAGAGAGGCAGTAGGATATTTAAATTTTAGAGAGAGAAGAGGAATTGGGACTGACATGATAAGGCACTCCATGAAGGGGAAGAGGAGCGGGGTGGAAATGTAAGAGGGGAACTTCGCTTCTCCTTCTCAAATGAGCATATGCAGGTGGGAAGGAAGGAGAAGCGTGGCCAGAGCTGCTGAAACACATCTGCTCTACTCCAACTCCACTCCGTTGATCTTCCGGTGACTTGAACTTCTCATCAAACTGCTAAATTAAGATTTCCATAAACAAAGGTTAAAAACCAGGTGAGGGTTTGTGCACCGTAGAAAGAGAGGGCGAAAGAGATTTGCTCTCTCTAAGTTGGGCCAATAAAAGAGAGTGCGGAGGAGGGGGGGTTTCGCTGTCGTTACTGCAAGTGTGGCCACAGAAGAAAAGAGAGAGCAATGTTCAAAAGATTGAACCGGCCTCTGGAAACCAGCCACCGGCCAGGTTTCGAGTAAACTCCAAACCGGGTGATTCAACAAGACTACCTGTGTCGTCCAGGCCTGTCTAAAATGTATTAAAAAGATACAAAAAAGGTCAAAAAAATAGATTTTAAAAAATCTATTTGTGCAAGGGGTATCCTTTTTTAATTTTCCAAAAAATATGTTGATGGCCGAAATTGTCAAAATGATAAAAAATATTCCAAAACACGTTGCAAACAAATCCTTTACTTTTTAGAATTTTATATTTTTAAAAAATTAAAAAAATATGCAGCCCGACCGGGCCAAAGCCGGGTTCCAGTTTGACCGGCCTAACAGTTCCGAGTTGGACAGGCCTGAGTTTGCGAAGATAGAGAGAGAGAGAGAGCGTTGTGGTCTGTACCTTGGGCTTCACATTGCGGGGATTGGTTGTTCTCCAATCAAAAAAGGATTGATGAAATGATGAAGGTTGAATTAATATTGAGGATGAGGAGGATGGATCCACGCCGCCGAAACCCAAGCCCAAACGCTCCTCATCAGCGCCCAATGATTCAAAGCTTTCACGTTTTGAGGAATTCCAACTCCCCAAGCTTAGATCTAGATTGTGATCCGCCTCATCGCCGCGACCTCCTCCTCCCCTTCCTGTACAATAGATATTCTATAAACTATCCAAAACAAAATAAAAGCAAATTCCCATAAAAAGAAATCCTTTCCCCCCTCTTTCTCTCTACGTTGATCTATCAAGAAAGACTGAAAAAAAAAATTTGTCAAAAATCCAATTACCAGCTGTGGCAGCGATCTCGTTATCATAAATGCTTGGATCGAAATTGGTCACCGCCTCCCTCCCATTACATTTGATTGCAGCTTTATCATAGGCCCTGACCCGATTTATTCTTATCAGAAATTAAAAAAAAAAAGACTATTCAATGAGAACCCAATTCAAGAGACAAATTAGTGAGTAAGATTAATAACCTTGCAGCCTCTACCTCGCTGTCGAAAAGACCCAAGTAGACATACCTGTGTGAAAGAGGACATAAAAGAATGAGCAAAAACTTTTGCTCCACTAACAAATTTGGAATCTCAATCAACAAGATAATAACTAAAAGAAAACAAAAAAGAGGTTCTAATCTAGCAGCATTACAGTACTTCAACGATCAAAAAAACAGCGTTGAGTTTGATGTTCCATTCTGAAAAGTTCGGGGAAATCGTGATGATAGAGAAAAAGGGAAAAGAAATATTATTATTAGCATTCATGTGGTGGTGGGGTGCTGCTGCAAAAACCAAAATGGGGTAATTTGTAGGAGGGTGAGAGATGTGATTACTTTTTACCAAGAAACTGTCCCATTCTGGCCTCCCATCTGCCGCACTTGTGAAGCGTAACCCCTCTAAACTTTGAGCTTCCTCTCGGGAACCCGGTGCTTTGTCGTCGGAGGACATGAACAAACTCTTCCTTTGTCAGATTATTCATCTGTTCATTGTTTTTCCATTACTCAGCTCTTACAAAAAAAAAATTAGCCCCAAAAAAAAAAAACTTGAGATGGTTACTGTGAACCATGGGTTTCTCTTTGCTCTCTCTAACCTGCTTCAAATCCTCCTCGTAATCGTCCAGGCTGAAATTGATGTCTGCATCAACCCCCCTAAACTTGATCGCGGCTCTATCATAAGCGCTGAAACAAAACAGCTTCTATTCATTCACAAATACATGAATCAATCAACAAGTTGGCAGTGCAAACAACTAATAGTTTTCATCTTATTATTATTATTATATTACAAAATAATACGTTTTTGCTTACGGGAAAGGGAGGATGTAGGTAATACCGTGCAGCTGCGTGTGCTGTATCGAATCCACCTGTTTAATGCCCAAACCCCAAATTTCTCATGAGCACAACAAATATGTGCAAAAAAAAAAAAAACAATACATATTTTCGAGTTTTACATACATACCCAAATACACCTGCTTCCCACAATCCCTGCATCAACAACAGGATAAAAAAATAATAAAATAATATGAGAAATAGCTGAAACTTAATTTTTAGAGGACACAAGAGAGAGAGAGAGAGAGAGAGGAGAAGAAGAGGAATACCAAATGTGAGACTCCCATCTTCCTGTCCTCCTGTAAAAGGTCACACCCCTATACTGAGAGCTCCTTGACCTCGGCCCCCTCCTGCTCTTCTTGATGGGCTGCGATGAAACCTCCATACCCTTTAGCCTCTCAGATTGGCAAAATTTAACCCCTACCCAATGGGCCCTGGGCAACGGCAAGCTCCCGCTCCCACTCCCATCTGAGCGAACCTGTAAAGAAAGCTGATCGGAATCCCCTTCCTTCTCTCCTCCTCCGATTATCGGAAAGAACTGTCTCGTAACAACATTTGTGTTGTTGTTGTTGTTGCTGTTCTCAGGCTCTGAGCTCTCTGATGAACAATTGCTATCTTGTTGCTGCTGCAATACTGAGAAGCCGAAGATACGGTTGCCGCCACTTTTATCTTTTTTCCCACTCTCTGCATCAGATCCTTCAAACACGATAGCTGAGGACGAGTTTGAATTATCATCCTCGTTGCTTGCAGAACCCCCCTTACCTTTATCATCATCTTCACCTTCAAAGCTTCCTGAATCCCCCACTAATGCGCCACCCCTTCGTTCCTCCGGCGAGTCGTTCAGATCCCACATCATGCAGAACCGGCCCCCCTCTCTCTCTCTTACCAGGTCTATCTAGAAACTCTCTTCCTCTCTCTCTCTCTAAAAACCCAACTCGTAATAATACCTTAATCTGCTCTCTCGCAGTGAATGTCCACCATTACCATTATCCATTAGATGCCCCCCATCTCCAAACTTTAAAAACCAGTTCTCTCTCACTCTGTGCAATAAGGGCCTCCTCTTTCCTCTCTCTCTACTTTGTGTTTTTGTTTCCCCCAACCACCCCCTTCTCCTCCTCCTCGCCCTTTTGCCTCCCCTTCGCCCAAGGCCCAAAAGGCAAAAGACAATCTGCAAGGCTTCTCTCTGTTTCTCTTTCTTCCTTAAATTAATGACATTCAATAATAATTACAACAACGTTTCGACAATAGGCTTTTGCCACCATCCCTTTCCTTTCCCATGTTCAGCGGATCGGACGGCTCGGATTGTTCCCTGAGTCGCATCCGAATCTCCGCCGGTGACAGTGGGTGAGTTAATTAAACAAGTGAGACTCCGATGTGTGGTAAACTAATAAGGACTAATAACAACGGCAAGAAATAAGAGGAGAGAGAAGCGCACAACCCCTGCCCCGCCCAACAATTAATTAATTGACGGGATGCACGCACGCACGCAACCACGCCGCGTAGTCGGCCGTCACTCAAAATTGTATCCCAAAATCCCTTTTTATCCTGTATTTTAAAACCCAGACCCTAAATCACGTATCCATATTGCATTATTGAATTGACAATGGGGTTGGAGTTTGGTGGTAGCATCGTTTGAGCTTTAATTAAGCTCTAGGTTTTCATTATCACTTAACGTATTCAAAAACCACAAACGATTTCAAAAAATGAGTAGGAGATTGTCATCCCCACTAAATTACAAAAAAAAACACAAACGATTTCAAAAAATAAGTAGGAATTTGTCATCCCCACTAAATTACTAAAAAAAAATCAAACAATTTAGATCCATCTAGATCGATAATTTGAAAACTATAAAAATAAAAACAAAAAATTTAAAATAGAAATTTATGGGGTGTAGATTTAAGGGGACCAAAAAATAACATTAGATACACTTAAAAAAAATATACATATATAGAAAAATTATACAGTATAAAGTAGTTACAATTAATCTTGATCATTGGATGTGAAATTTGACAGTTGCATTTCTTCCAATGACCAAGCTCAAAATTCAAAAGAAATTTTCTCAAACATTATGGCACACCTAAGCTATCAGATTTTACATTGGGTGGTTGTAAGTAATTGTAAGGTCTCATTGTATATAATTCCATATAAATATATCTCTCTCCCTGTCTAACTAGGTTTTTAAAAATCAACCAAGCGAGGCAGTCATTTGGAGCCAAATTATTTATCCATATTAGTGATCCAGCCAATTCTCATGTGTGAGAATCAGTATATACTACAAACACAAACTAAATTTTGGTTAAGGGAACTCCTAGAACTTGCAACCTTGAACTATAGAGACCTGTTACATGGCTAACATGTAGTTCCTCTAATTTAATGATAAGCATGGTAAATAAAACAGGCATGGGTATGTATATCTCATGCTCTTCTTTAATGATAAGCATGGTAAATAAGGTAGGCATGGATATGCATATGCCATGCAGTGTCGTGTATGAGTAGTTAATAGAGTCGCGTATATCGAGTTGACTAAGTCTTTTGGTAGATTTACATGAGTAGTTAATAGAAGCTGATATTTTGGCTATTTTTTTGGGTTTATCAGGTAAATTACATGAGTAGTTAGTAGAAGCTTATCTTTTGGAAAATGATGTGATCTCTCTCAATGTTGGACAACAATAGATAATGGACAAGCTTAACGAGCTGTTCGAAAAGCTTAGTTCACGTCCAACTAATATTGAACTTGAAGTAGAGGAGAACTCAAGGGCTCAACTCCAAAACCATGGAGTACGACCTGGGAACACTAATAGAAACCGTCAAAACGGTTTGCAACAATTCTTCACTCCAAAGCTTGTCAAACTTGATTTTCCTTGCTTTAATGGGGAAGAAGACAAGGCGAGTTGGACTTGAAGGGTGAAACAATTTTTCTAGTTCTATCAAACACTAGAGGAAGAACGTGTGGCTCTTGCGTCCTTCCATTTGGAGGGTAACATTCAGCTGTGGTACCAACTATTCAAACAAGAAGGAGGGCAAATGACCTGGTAGATGGTTTGTAACGGGTTGCACGCTAGGTATAGTCTCACCCAATTCCAAGATTTTATTGGAGAGTTAGCTAAATTGCAACAAATTGAAACTATTACAGACTACCAAACTCAATTTGAAAGGCTGCTTACTAAGGTGGGGTATCTTCCTTCTAACCACCAAGTCAGATGTTTCATCAGCGGATTAAGGGACAACATCAAAGCAGACGTGTTAGCATGGTACCCTACGACCTTATCAGCAGCTATTGGACTTGTCCGTTTGTACAAGGCCTGCAATTTCTCACAATGGGGAGTTGTTCCTACTTTCGATGCGAAAAAGTCCATCACAACCAGTAAAGAGGCAAACAACAGCGGTCCTACACTTCCAGTTCGGAGGATGACACCTGCTAAATTGCAAAAGAGACGTGTAAAAGGGTTGTGCTATAATTGTAACAAGAAATTTGTGTCGGGGCATCGATGTAAGAAGTTGTTTTTAATTGAAGTCTGTTATGAAGAAGAAGATATCAACGTTGCAACTGGCCAAGAAGAAGTCGTTGCAGAAGAGTTCCTTGAGGTGCTGGAGATCTCTTTACATGTTATTTCTAGTGTAAGAGCACCTGAAACAATTGCGAGTCAAGGGCAGCATAGGTCATGTATCCGCCACAGTGTTCATTGACTCGGGAAGCACTCATAACTTCATAAGTGAAAAAGTGAAATTACTACCAGCCAGTGGTAACCGTTTCGAAGTGGTGGTGGTGTTAAGGGAGAAACTACCTAGTGTGGGTAAGTGCTCGAACATTAAGTTGAAGGTGCAAGGTGTGCTGGTCTATATTCTATTTGCTGTCATTAGAAGGTTATGACGTGGTTTTAGGGGCACAATGGTTACGAACACTTAGCTCAATTGTATGGGACTTTGCAAGGTTATTGATGAAATTTAATATAGAAGGAAAATAAGTGATTCTCAAGGGAGTCACAATTGTTGATGATAAGGTTATTGGGGACCCGAAATTCAACCGTGAAGCAAGGAAAAACAAGCAGGGTGTATTGTTACAGCTGTAGACATTGGGAACTCCACGGTCTACATGCAAGGCGATGGTTCAACCTCCCCAATTGTAGCAAATTTTGGTGAAATTCCAAGACGTATTCGAGGAGCTCATGGATCGTCCACTTCCACAGTCCCATAATCACAAGATTCCCTTTGTGGCAGGGAGTGGGCCTATATGTGTCAAGGCCTAATGATACCCGTATTATCAAAAGGTGGAGATTGAAAGGTTAATGACTAAGATGCTCACTACGTGGGTCATCCGACCTAGCAACAGTCCATATTCTTCACCAGTAATTTTGGTTAAGAAGCACAATGGATCTTGGAGGATGTGCGTAGATCGTGCCCTTAACAATATCACAATTAAATATCGGTTTCTGATTCCAGCTATTAATGAGTTATTGAACGAGTTGAATGGAGCACATATATTTTCAAAGGTCGACTGAATGCCATCAGATTCGAGTGGTGCCCGAAGATACGACAAAAACAGCATTTCGGACACACCATGACCACTATGAATTCTTGGTGATGCCTTTTGGTCTCACCAACGCCCCGCCAACCTTTCAGTCCCTGATGAACCAGTTATTCCAAAATCATTTAAGGAAATTCATCTTATTATTTTTTTATCATATTTTAATATATAGTGCATCATGGGAAGAACATTTTAAGCATTTAGAAATTACACTGGCCATTTTACGAGCTAACAAGTTGTTTGTCAAGAAAGAGAAGTGTCAATTTGGCCAAAAAGAGGTACACTACCTCGGCCATATGATATCTAACACTGGAGTGGCGGGTGATCCGGATAAGGTCTTTGCAATGTTGAACTGGCTTAAGCCTAAACGCCCAAGGCTATGAGAGAATTTCTTGGTCTAACAGGCTATTACCGAAAAATTATTCAAAATTTGGTAAGATAGCTGGGCCACTTAGTAGCATGTTCAAGAAAGATTCATTCAAGTGGACCCCTGCTAAGGACGTGTTTCAAAATTTAAAGGAAGCTATGACTAAGGCTCCCGTATTAGTCCTACCTGATTTCTCAAAGAAGTTTATTGTGGAATGCGACGCTAGTGGCTCAGGTGTAGGAGCTGTGTTAATATAAGAAAGGCCAATAACATTTTATAGCCAAGTCTTACAAGGAAAAAACTGCTATTCTCCACCTACGAGAAGGAAATGTTGGTGTTGGTGCTGGCAGTGCAAAAATGGCATTCATATTTGTTGGAGCGACAGTTTATAGTAAGGACAGATCAACGCAGTTTGCAGTATTTATGGGCTCAAAAAATAAGTTCTTCATCACAAAAAAGGTGGCCTTACAAGTTGATAAGCTATGATTTTGCTATTGAATATAAAAAAGGAAGGGAGAATGTTGTGGCCGATGCCTTGTCTAGAAGGGCATAATATGGAGAAAATAATGAAGATAAGGAATGAAGGTTGGCCGCTATTTCTCAACCAATACCCGATTGGGTAGCTACGGTTAAGGAGGAGATTAACTCAAACTCGGCTTTGCAGGGGTTAGTTCAACGGATATAGGACGGTGAAACAGTAGGCCCATGGGAATTTAAGGAGGGGCTTATCTTTTTTAAGGAAAGAATTTATCTTGCTAAAAATCCATCCCTAATTAAAGATATCATTAGCCAATTCCACGGTGGCACACATGAGGGTTATCATAAAACCTTCCAAAGGATAAAAACCAGTTTTATTGGCCGAGTATGAGGATTAAAATTAAGAACTTTATTATCGAGTGTGATACATATCAATGCCACAAGACAAAGCAAGTATCTCCTACTGACCTACTCCAGCCATTGCCAATCCCACTCCAAATATGGGAGGACATCTCGATGGATTTCGTCAAGGGGTTACCAGTTTATAAGGGAAAATCTGTCGTATTGGTGGTTATTGACATGTCATCAAAATATGCACACTTTATTCCCTTATCTCATCCACACACAGCCACGGGAGTTGCACAAATCTTCTTCAATCAAGTATTCAAATTACATGGGATGTTGAGAACCATCGTATGTGAGATTACACATTCACTAGCAATTTTTTGTCAAAGCTGTTTCAACTTAATGGTACAAATTTTAATTATAGCTTTGCTTACCACCCCCAAAAAGCTGGCCAAAGCGAAGTTGTTAATCATACATTGGAGATGTATCTGAGGTGTCTTTTTAGTTCAATCCTAAGGAATGGGGAAAGTGGTTATCCTAGGCAGAGTATTGTTACAACACTAGCTGGCACTCGGCGATCAA